CTGCTATGGAAAAAAGTGGTTATACTTTCTAACATTGTAATAAATGTCCTGCTATGGAAAAAATAGGTTATACTTTCTAACATTGTAATAACTGTCCTGCTATGGAAAAAAAAATTGGTTATACTTTCTAACTTTGTAATAACTGTCCTGCTATGGAAAAAAAGTGGTTATACTTTCTAACTTTGTAATAACTGTCCTGCTATGGAAAAGAAGTGGTTATACTTTCTAACATTGTAATAACTGTCCTGCTATGGAAAATATATAAAGACATTTTTTGTATTTTATTTAACAAACACATTACGTAAAAACACAATATGACAACAAAACTTGGCACTACTCTTATTCTCATTCCCCATATTCACTGACGTGTGTGTCTGTAAATAGAGGTCTTCAAATCTGGAACCTGCGATTAAACTATTTCAATAGAAACGACCGGCTGGACTTGTTTAATTTTTTGTTATTTTATATTTTTTCAGTTTCATCAAATCTGGCTCTGAATATTTATTGTGGGTAACACTGCTCAATGATCAATGTGAGTAGAGGGATCATGTGAACTTTATGATCAATGTGAATGGTTGTATCAATGAGGATGTGATTATCAATATGAATGGTGTGATCAATGTGAATGGTATGATCAATGTGAAGGATGTGATCAATGTGAATCTTATGATCAATGTAAATAATTTGATCGATGTGAATAATGTGATCAATGTAAATAATGTGATCGATGTGAATAATGTGATCAATGCAAATAATGTGATCGATGTGAATAATGTGATCAATGTGAATGGTGTGTTCAATGTGAATGATGTGATCGATGTGAATAATGTGATCAATGTGAATAATATGATACATGGGAACGTTATGTTTCATGTGATTTATGTGATCAATATGAAAATAGTGATCAAGGTGAATATTGCTCTTAATGTGAATGGTGTGAACAATGTGAATGCTGTGATATAATTCAACAAGAACTCGTATCATAATAATGTTCATTTGTTTTTTTATATGATATTATTTTTATCTTTGTTTTCTCAGTGTAACTCAGTGTGTCGTCATAACTAACTGACAATTTTGAAACCCTTACCATAGATGGTTTCATCGTCAAATGTTTGTTTCTTACCATTTATTCTCGTTAAATTCCTGTTTACAGCAAAACGTACCTTTTTCCCTTACTTTCCTCTTTATTGTCTCAGTTCATTGACAGTTCAGCGTAATTTCTTTTCTCTTTCAGTTCATTGACAGTTCTGAGTAATGTCTTTTCTCTTTCGGTTTATTGAAAGTTCACCTTAATGTGTATCATCTCTAAGTTCATTGAAAGTATGAAAGTTCTCAGTTATGTTTTTTTTATCTATTTCATTGACAGTTCTCAGTAATGAGTTTTATCTGTGAGTTCATTGACATTTTGTAGTACTATGTTTCGATCCAATTTCATTGACAGTTCTCTGAGATGTGTTTTCCATCCAAACTCATTGACAGTTCTAATTAATGTCTTTTCTCTCATAGTTCATTGACAGTTGCCATTAATGAATTTTTTCTCTCAGCTCTTAAAGTTGTCAGAGCATATAAAGCCTTTATCCGTCCGATTTTAGATTATTCATCTTCAGACTGGGACCCATTTACCCAGAAGAGCATTGACAGGTTGGAGGCGGTCCAGCGACGAGCAGCTCGCTTTGTCCTAAACCGCTACAGGAATACCTCTAGTGTTGGCAGCATGCTAGAAACACTAGGCTGGTCACCATTGGAGAAACGACGACGACAATCCAGGCTCTCCATGATGTACAAGATAAATAATGGGCTGGTTCACTGTTCCAGTATTAAACAGAAACTCGTCCCTCTCCCCCATAGACAGCGACGAGGCCATGACAGGCAATTCAGGCTCATACCAGCAAGAAGCCAGTATAGGAGCTGCTCATTCCTGCCCAAGACAAACAGCGACGAGGCCATGACAGGCAATTCAGGCTCATACCAGCAAGAAGCCAGTATAGGAGCTGCTCATTCCTGCCCAAGACAATCAGGGACTGGAACCATCTTTCAAAAGGAACAGTTGAGGCGACAACACTAGACACATTTGTGTCTATTGCCTCAAGCCTTCAAACCCCTAGTGCATAATTTCCTCATCACCACCAGTAACAGAAACATTTCAAATCCCATCTACATGCATAGGAGCCAAAATGATCAATAAATTGATCGTGGGCCCTTAAGATATAGAGGAAGAAGTAATGTCTTCCCTCTCAGTTTTTGACACGTTTCCGTGATGTTTTTTCCTCCTCATTCCTTTGACAGTTCTCAGTAAATTAATTTCTCTCTCAGTGACACTTTTCAGTAAATTTAATTTCTCTCTCAGTTCAATGACAGCTCTCAGTAATGCGTTTTGCCTCTCAAATCATTGACAATTCTAAGTAATGTCTCTTCTCTCTCAGTTCAACGACTGTTCTCAGTAATGTGTTTTTTCTCTTAGTTCATTGACATTTCAATGCAATGACCTTGTTTCTCAACTCATTAACAGTTCTCATGAATGCCTTTCTCTCGGAATCCACAAGACATACAATTATGATACATTATTAAATCCTTTATATCAACTTCACTTTTGTTGATGGGTGCCTGGGTGTATGGCTAAAATCTTTGGACGTTAATTGACCGACTTACACATCGAGCTGAATCTTGGTTAGTTAGACTCCACTGCCGTTGAAACACGTTATTTCAAATGGCCAGCACCAACCACCAATACCTAAACTAAAAAATAAAAAGTTTTTCCTGTATTTTTCAAGGAGAAAATGAAGGAAAATTCCTGATAACTGCTCCAAATGGTATTAATTTTTGTATCGCAAGTGCGTTTAGGATACTTAAAAGACTTACTAAATTTTTTACCTGTCTTTTTGGATTTATAATAGTACCTTTCCAAAATTATAATATTTCATTTCCCATGCTGTGTGTTAATATGGTTATTATTCAGTAACAATTACCAATCATTTTACTCAAGTTTCAAAACACATATATCTGTCCTCTGATTAACTTTGCTCAACATTGTCAAGCTATCAGTTCTGATAGTTCATCAATAACTCGGAATATTTTTTTTTTAAATTTTTATTTGCAAATTTCGATCAAATTTTGAAGAAAAACAAATCTAAGTAACTCAACACAAAGATAATGTCTTTTCGATACTTATTTCTCATTATCCGCGTTAAACGCGTTCCTGCCAGTTACCTGAGAAAGAAAACAACTAACCCATCAGTAGCGGGTACATTCAATGAAGAAAAAAACAACTTTTTATTTGCTGAGAGAAAAGAGCATAATGGGTTGGTGCATAGCATTTCCGCTTCCGTATCATTTGTGGTTGTCATGGTTTGGCCAAGGAAACATGGACCAGATGATGTCACCATCCTTTGAGAGGAAATAAATCATTCAGAGTAAAATAATACATTTCATTTTAAAGAAAAATATATAATACGTTATGTTTTAATAATACTACTTTACTTTCTAGAACCGAGGTTACAAACTAGAAAAATGATATTTGGAGGCAACACTAAATTTGTTAAAGTAGGCAGAAACCAAGGACTATCTATTCTGTTTTAGCAAATATGGCTAGACTCTTTGGAGATACCAAGATATCGACCTGAAATAGATCAGATGTCAAATGATAATTGTTATTTTTTTAGCGATTTATGACAATTTACCTAGGTTTATTATTATAATAAGGATGGCCAATAGGTGGTCTCCAGATGACCATTTTAAAGACTTTTCAACAATATTTATGTATTTAAAAATCCATATTAACTCTTCAAGTCCGACACGTCAGTCTAACTGGCTCTCCGCTGGTGACGTCTTGACGCCAGCTATTCTATGTGACGTTTCATAGCGACTCTTTAATTTGGGGATTTTATATAAATATTTAGGTATTTCGTCCAAACCAATATTTCCACATCCTCTTCCGGTGTTTATAGTTTTCAATTGTGCAAGAATTTTGTTGTTTATCGCAATTTCAACTATAGATATTTAAGTTTTAGTGACAGCTAAATTTCGATGAACCTTTGTTTACCTAAACAAATGGCTTCTTTTTCCAATAGCGATAAAAATCAGAGGTTGTCTGAAAAACAAGCTTCAAAACTAGTAATTTCATGGGCAGAAACAAATGGAGACGATGAATTATCGAGCGAAGATGAATTTGTAAGTGGGCCCAGTAGATCAGATTCAGAGTATACGTTTGGCAATGATAAATCTTCTGATGACAACATCGAATCTGCCGATGAGTCGGCATTACCTAAAGCTGGAACTAGTTCTAGCAAAAACGGGAAGAGCAAAGCCTTTCTAAAAAAGGAAGAAATAAGATCTGATGAAGATCTAGATCACCCCTATCTAGACATGTGCAGTCTAAGTCTAACAAGATAGGTGAAATAAAATGGAATGAAGTAGAAGCTGGAACTAAAATTAATTCTTTCCGTTTTGTGCCACGACCATCTAGAATTCCTGGAGTAACCCCTGATGTTATTCCAAATGGGTCATCACCACTTTTTTTCAAATCTCTGTTCATTGATGATATCATTACAGAACTGCTACATTCCATCAATGAATATGCAGAAAAACATGTTGTATCAAAAGGGAAAACAGCATTCTCAAGATCTGTTTATACAAATCTGATACCCTGTGCCACTCCTAGAAATACACAATTTTTTTTCTATTAAAATTTCATTTGGAAGGAATAAATACTGGTCAAGTCATCGATGTCTTCAAAATAATTGGTACAGCCAAATGTTCCGAAGAGACAGATTCCATAAAATCTTTCATACCATGTTTCATGTCAGCAATGTGGATGCTGAAGATAAAGAAACAAAAATTGAACACTTTGTTCAAAAACTTTTAGATAGATTTCAGGAAGCATTCAATCCTTTCAAAGACTTATAATTAGATGAAAAGCGGATTGGATGGCAAGAAAAATGGGCTCAAAAAATGTTCAATGCATCAAAATCGCCCAAAAATTATGTATTCAGGTGTTCTGTTATGTTCTTGTAAATGACTATAATATGAAAATGAATGGACGTGATACATTCGACCAGTGTGGTGTGACTTATGGAGCTTTCAGCAGGAGGACACAAACATGGTGGACAAAGATTTTCTATTGCGTTTTTGAAATCACCCAGTTGAACGCCTATCGCTTGCATGTGTTATCACAGCCAACAGGGTCCAGAAAACTGACTCTTTAAACTTTAAGTTAAATAATTATTGATGAATTAAGTCTTTAAGGAACCAAAACATTCTTCCACGCCCAAGGGTAAATAACAAGTCTTTGGGTGTCAAGAGACATAGTAACCACACTGGTCACTTAATGAAGAAAATATTGCATATTCGTTTATATAGCACCCCTGAAGTACGAGTGAGAACCTCCTTTTTTGTCATGGATGTCCAAATAAGCCGTATCTACATCCTAAAACCTGCTTTGGACAGTTTCATTCTGTAAACTAGTTGTTTTTTGTGTTTTTTTGTTGAAATTTTTAGAGAGGCCTAACAATTATTTTTGTAACATAATTTATGTTTATGTAATACATAGAAATAAGGCCTATCATAAAATCCACTTATTATTTGTATTACTTTAGAGGAGATTTATACATCATAATGTATATGTTCTAATTTAAAAGATTAAAATATTAACGACAAAGTTTTATCCTATTAAGACCTTCATGTCTCAGTAATGGCATAATTATTATATGTCTGAAATTGTCCATGTAAATATGCAACATCAGATATGGATGTTTGCAAGAGCATGACAAACGAAAATGTTTTGGACGACAAATTTATTGGAACCCTATGAAACTAAAAATGTGCATTTATTTTTCCGTATGTGACCAGTAGATTTCAAATTGCCACAAATAATTTATTTTTCGTTGAATATTGATACAATTTACTTATGTTATGCACAATTGCATTTATTTTAAGGCTAAATAATCTAAATGTCACTTGAACATGCGATCGTTTGTTTTTTATGCTTTTGATGAAATGTTGTTTTTTTTTCAAACTTGTAATACAAATTATTATGAACCATCAAGTTTGCTGTTGTTCATGGCTGGCTGGAAAAAGTTTTCGGACGATTTATCGACCACCTTCATGTCAACCTATTCGGATGAAATGTGGCAAATAGACTAGATGCCGATAACAACACACTCTTACAATTGTTCTGTCCGACCCCTCAACGACAACCTACAAAAAAAAACTATTTTGTTTTCTTCTGAAACATTTGGTGAAATAAATATGACGCGGAAATTTTTAACACAGTTCAGGGACATGAATTGGGATAAGTGTCCAACTCATCAAGCATATAAATTAATTTTCTTTTCATAAGTAATTATGTCAAATTTTTACGTAAGTCTGTTTCTGTTACTTTTTATTACTTAGCGTTCATCACTATAGTTACTATGTAGAATGAGTTCAAAATAATTACATCTTGTTTATTGCCTACTTTAGGTTTAGGGAAAACCCCAGAGGAGAAATATATGGTTAAAAATTTGATATTTGTCCAGCACTTCCTTTTACAACTATATATGGACTAGAAATATAAACGTATGTGTCATTATGTTAAAATTTAAAGTCTCTATGTGTCCCTATGTTGAATAGACAAATATGTGTCCCTATTTTGACTAGACAGTTATGTTTCCCTGTGTTGACTAGACAGCTTTGTGTCCGTGTATTGAATTAGACAGTTTTGTGTCCCTGTATTGAATAGATAGCTGTGTGTCCCTATATTGGCTAGACAGATATGCGTCCCTATGTTGACTAGACAGCTATGTGTCACTATGTTGACTAGACAGCTATATGTCCCTATCTTGTCTAGACAGCTATGTTTCCCTATGTTGACGAGACAGCTTTGTTTCCCTATGTTGACTTGACAGCTATGTGTCATTATGTTGACGAGACAGCTATGTATTCTTATGTTAATTAGACAGTTATGTTTCCCTATGCTGATTAGTCAGTTATGTGTCCATATGTTGACTAGACAGTTCTTCTTCTTCTTTATTTTAAGGGCCCACGATCAATGAATTGATCATTCTGGCTCCTATGTTTCAGAGGGGTTTGCGATGTTACTGTCCATGGGTTTCAATGGGATACTTCACTGGTTGCAAGGGCGACTCAGCAGTGGTGTTATGAACTGGGGGTTGGAATACAGGAGACAATAGACACAAATGTATCGAGTGTAGCCGCCTCAACTGTTGCTTTTGGAAGCTTGTTCCAGTCCCCTATTGTCTTCGGCAGGAATGAGGAGCTTCTGTACTTTGTTCTTGTTTTTACCAGCCGGAACTGTTTGTCGTGNATGACCCTATGTTGACTAGACAGCTATGTGTCCCTATATTGACTAGACAGCTATGTGTCGTTATGTTGACTAGACAGCTGTGTTTCCCTGTGTTGACTATTGTTCATCCGGCAAGATCATCTACGACCATAAAATCATCCGGTTTATGGGGGGGGGGGGTTGGCACGTGGAGTTCGTTGGTGGCCTGCTAGTCCGATGAGTGCTTTGAAAAGTCTCTGGCATCGTGGGAAGGGGATAGTTGCTTCAGGCTGTGAACTAATGGTGACTTTCCGTGCTAGCGTGCGTGTCTACAATGGGACTCTACGTCTGACCTTATGAGATTGAGACCCTTCTTGACAGCTGATCTCCATCTAGCTCTTTCCTGGACTGTTTGTTCCCATTTCTTTTGGGTTGATGCTGAAGGCCTTTACTGCCACTTTCAGTGTGTCCTTGTAACGCTTTCTTTGACGTTCTTAGGTGCGCTTGCCTTGCATAGACTGTACCTGTTTTCTAAACACCTTACTCCGACCATCATAATACCAATGATCAGACAAAGTGTAAAAACATTATAGTGTTCAAAGTCATAATCGCAATGGTTGTTATTCTATAAGACCAAACTTTACAACTTTTTACATAATACCAAAACGAGCCCATGTATTAAGGTTAAAAGATGATATTAGTGGCGTACAATCAAATATTGAAATTATAATTAAGATCTTATAGAGATTTTTTTTAAAAGATATACTTCTAATTTATTGCCCCCACAATTATATACATAAACTCAAATTGCCTGCATTTATAGCTAACTGAATATCGGTCCTCCTTCGTCCTTAACTTGTACTGGGTCCTACCTTCTCCAAGGTCCTAACTCTCATATTGTTCCTAACATCTCCTGGGTCCTAACATCTCCTAGGTACTAACATTTCCTTGGTTAAAACGTCTTCTGGGTCCTAATTTCTCATGGGTCTTAACTTCTCCTGGGTCCTAAATTCTCCTTGGTCATCACTTCTCCTGGGTCCATCTTTTCCTGATTCCTAACGTCTACTTGCTCCCAAATTCTCCTGGCTCCTAACATCTAAACGTCGATGAAATCTAAAGCATACTTTTTTTTGCTTTTTTGTATAGACCGAGGTAATCCTAGGTGACACACATGAATATATTATCAAAGCTGTGATATAGGCCTATATTATCCCAGCTGTCATAAATATCTATAATATACCAGCTGTCATTTAGATCTAAATTACCCCAGCTGTTTAATAAATCTATATTATCCCAGCTGTCACCTAGATCAATATTATCCCAGTGGTCGCATAGATCGATATGATTCATCTTTATTACGCCCACCCTTTTTAAACGTGAAACAATTTATTTTCAACCATTATATACCATCAAAGCCTATTTAAGTGCCCCCGCATGTCTGGCACGCCGGCACATGTGTCCACACGAACACCTGATAGCCACGTTTTTGGCCACTGTCCACTGGCAACTGGCACAGAGCCCCACCCCCGAAAATCTTAAAGTCTCCCCCCCTAACCCGTGGAAAATGTCCGGCAAAAAACACCGCCACATATAATTAAAATGATCATAAATAAGTGTCTGTTTATGAACGAGAAAATATGTTTTGTGGAATAAAAAAGCAAGTCATATAGTTTTTGACGAATTTATCTTCGAATACTCATTGACTTACGTGTGTTCCCTCCTGTTCGCTAGCATTTTTTCCAAGGCATAAACATCCTTTTAAAGATCGCATACAGGTCGACGGTAGAGTCGAAGCACTCGTTATCGTAGTAAATGTTAGTGAGACAGCGTGAAAAGTACATCCGGGGACTTTTAAAAAATACAATATGTTAAATCATTTATTTGAGGGGTGCACCATGAAAAGATCTAAGTATATTAATAAGACACAAACAATTTGCTTTAGTAAATAAATTGCTTTATTCTTTAAGCTAAAACATTAAGTACATATATAAGACTTTTTGACCAGTAAGCACCAACAAAAATGTATTTATCTAAGTTTTATTTTTGTTTTTACTTAAGATAAATCGCACCTATTGAAGTAGTAAAGGGGGGGGGGGAAAGGGGCGCACCAAACATCACTAAAAGTGGGGGGAAAAAGAAACTTCCGGAAGTTACCGGAGAGGGTTAATCTTTATGGTAAATTAATTTACACTTTATAAAGTTTTATTTGGGCTAAAGACTTTTTGACCAGTAAGAAACAACAAAAATGTATTTATCTAAGTTTTATTTTTGTTTTTACTTAAGATAAATCGCACCTATTGAAGTAGTAAAGGGGGGGGGGAATGGGGCGCACCAAGCATCACTAAAAGTGTGAGGAAAATGAAGCTTCCGGAAGTTACCGTAGAGGTTTATTCTTAATGTTAAATTAGTTTACACTTTATAAAGTTTTATTTGGGCTATAATATCTAAAAATTCATTGACTTTGTCACAAAAATATGTGCTTTTTAAATTGTTCATAAAACATACACACATTTCAGCTGTGTATATTTTAACATTAAAAAAGGTTTTGCTTTTTTGTATTCCTTTATATACCTTTATTAAAATTTCAACGTAATAAAACTAACCTTTAAATATAATTCTAATAACAAAATCGGTTTACGTCAAACATTGCAGCGCAACTCCATAGCTAAGTAGCATTCACTAATCCACTATTAACTAAGAAGAAATCTAATATCGAATTCGGAGTACCCCAGGGCTCGGTCCTAGGCCCGGTGCTTTTCATGGTGTAAATTCAGCCTCTGGGTGCAGTGATCAAGCAGTTTGACATGCAATACCACATGTTCGCGACGACACCCAACTTCATCAATTAATGATCCCCTCTCAGTTCCCTCAGCTTCTCAGTATGACACAGACGACCATGGAGTCAGTTAAGCACTGAATTACCATAAACAAACTCAAACTGAA